TCGGCCGCGAAGTGCAAGCGGGGCCGCCCTCCTGGCTTGAAGAACAAGCTTAAGCGTCCGGCGGCCAACAGCACCCCATACGCCGCACTCCAAACCCACGTGCTTCAAATTCCCCCCAGCGGCGACGTAGCAGAATCCATTGCTGCCTTTGCTCGTGGCTGCCCCGCTTTGGGAGTATGCCTTCTCTCAGCCTCCGGCCCTATTGCGACGGCCGTGTTGAGGGAGGTGTCACCTAATCCTTCAACCCTCACGTTCCAAGGAAGCTTTGATCTGCTTTCAATTACGGCCACTTTTCTTCCCAGAGGAGGCATAAGAAGTTTGGCCGTGATTTTGGCGAGGCCAAAGGGGCAGGTTTTGGGTGGGGTGGTGGCCGAACAATTGGTCGCAGCGTGCACTGTCGTTGTGGTAGCTGCCACCTTCGCATCGCCGGCGTCCCACCGCATGGATAAAATAGATATTACCCTGAAGAAGAGTATGTTGCCCGTTGTCGAAAATAAGGAACGAGATATGTTGCACAAGTGTTTGGCGGAAGTTGAATGTGATCTTGGCCTGCACGATTTTGGCAGATATGTTGCATTCGATGCGTTTGGATCTTTTGATGTGTTATGTTTAATTGTAGAGAATATAATCAATATTCAGTTTGCATGCTTGTTATAATTTTTTTTTTTTCCAAATAAAATAATAGTTTTATTGTGATTCTGTTATGATTTGTGTTTAGATTTACGGTTACGAAATAGTTGCTTCAAATTGGAGTACTGGGCTTGAATTTGTAACCGTAGAAAATTATTGCAGAGAGAGAGAGCGAGAGAGAGAACGCTATTAACACATGAAAATTTGCTATAATTTTTTTAGATGACATTTATATTCAAACAAATTAGCTTCAATTTAATATGATCATAACATGTATGTTGAATACAAAGCTCCATCAACAACTGTACTATTTGAACCACCTGTGTATTTTTCTCTGGCTTCCTCAAATCTCTATTTTGATAAATCAATTTTCGATATGAAAATTCGTGGCGGTAGAGTAATGGATTATCGACTTAGCGTTGCATGAGGATTCAACACACACTCAGATGAAAAAGAAAATAACATGTGATGACACCAGAAGTTTTTACGTGGAAAACCCGTAAAGGGGAAAAACCACGGGGCATGACCCAGTTGTAAATATCCACTATAGGTTGATGATTACAGAGACTCGTTATCCCACAGACGGAAAATGGTTACTAGCTTTCCAAAGTACAACGTGGATTGACAACGTCTAGTCAACGGTGGTCGACGACAGTCGATGACGGTCGGCGGTGGTCGACAGAGGTCAGTAATAGAGGTGAGCGGTGATCGGAGATGGTCAACGATGGACGGTGGTGGTCGACGAAGGTGAGCGATGATCCGAGGTGGTCGACGATGGCTGACGGGGGCCGAAGGACGTAAGCGGTCGTCTACGACGGTTGGCGGTGGTTGACAGAGGTGAGCGGTGATCAGAGGTGGTCGACGGTGGCCGACGAAGGTCAGCGGTGGTCAACGACGGTCAGCGGTGGTTGATGGAGGTCGACAATGGTAGGGATGATGTTGGACTTGAGCTCCTTCTCAATGCCTCAAGTTCTCCCTCAAGCCTCCTCCCCTTATGTAAGGGATGAGACTCTATTTATAGTGTTTTGGATGCAATTAATGCATGAATATGAACCATTTTGATCAGACGGTCCAAAGAGCTTCCCTCAATCGGATGACGTTTGATGGACATTTGAGTGCCTTAACGATGTCGAAATTGAGCAATCTTGGGCTCGTTGGATTCGTCTTGTCGAGACGCTCGATTTGATTATAAACTCACTAGATTTGACATCCGTTTGACCTTCAAATGCCTCTAGAAATCCTCCAATGTGGTTTAATGATCTGACTCGGATTAGACTAGTTTTTATATCATTGGATCCGTTTCATCGAGCCGGTCAGTTTGACTATAATTTTGCTGAAATCGGAGCTTTTGTTGACTCTTTTTTCTTATTTGAAATTTGATTGTTTTTTGTTCAAAAGGTTGTCTAAAGATTCGTGTCATGCCTCAAGATTAGTGATGGATGATGAAAATTTGTTAGTGCTGTATCAGTTCTATAGTCAGTTTATCTTAAATAATTGGAATTAACTTAATTCATTATGGATTAGAGAGATTAAGATTCTTTCTCCTTTCTGCATTAGTGCAGTTGGTTATTGAATATCCTGGATGGTGTCATGTAAATTGTTAAGAAGAGTTTCTTAACCGAGCTCATGGTTGTTGGCTTACTAACTTGGCTGACTGCACTTGTTGCCTCGTGGTTATGGTTGATAGTTATTTTGATTTTTGCTTGTTTTTTTATTATGGCTGGTTGTTATTTGGATGATTTGCAGGTTGTACTAGTTTACAACAAATAATGTGTAAAATGTAGTGTAAATGTGTAATAAATTGGTATGTTACTATTACTGTTCTTTTATACTTTTTTTATACTGTTCTTATAATAAATTTTCTAATTTTTTTTCCTATTGTAAATTTGTAATGGTGAACAACTTAATGAAGTAACACATTTTTTATACAATACTTATTCATATGTAATTGTAAACTTGTCACATGCCGCTCTTATTTCAAAAAATTAATAAACAATTTGTCTTAAAAAAAATTAATGCTTGCTCGAAAGTGTAGATATATTATTTCTCTTAGTTGTGTAAGAGTTTGTTTGGGGCAGTTGTAGCTTATTGAATAATCTGCTTTTAAGTTGATTAAAAATAATCTGTCGATAAGCTAGGGGCGGTGGCTACTACAAATTTTTATTTTTTTGAAAAAGTCAGACCACAGCCAGAAAGTTGTCACCGCACGTAGACAGGTGCGGAGTGGAAACGCTGTTTTCAGAGTTTTGAAAACGCATAAGCTGTCAAAACGTAGTTTACCCAAACTGGTCAGCTGCGTTTTAATTTCATATTGTAATTAAATAATTGATTAAGGTCGGAGGTTTCCAAAAATATATTGACATTAAATGATTTATTTTTTGCTAGTCATTTTCAAAATCAGAGAAATGTAAGAGTTTAGACTATAGACATCTAAATTTATAAAAAAACCAATGCCCATTAAAAGCTACATAATAATGCTTACTTTAAAAAAATTTAGATACTAAGTGCATGTTTGTCAAATGACAATTAAAATATGAAGTGAAGATGATGATGTTATTTCGGCTACTCGCTAAAGATGATGATGATAATGTTTGTAGAAATGACTTCACGAACATCACCAAAATGCTTGTTTCTACGT